TTAGGGGAGGGGGGGGGGATGGAGATGTTGGTTAAGGGCTAGCTTATCAGCTTACTATTCTAATTGAAATTATAAAATTACCAGGCAATTGTGACTCTAGTCGAACACTTAATTTCAAGACTAAGATTGGGACGGGTAAAAATGTCCCCCCCCCCACCAGAGGGACAGACGATGAATTATTGAGAAAATGAAGCCATAAACATTTTCACATTTTTAGGAGATTTAAATTCGAGAAGATCGAGCGCATTCGAGTATTCTCTTAATTAGTCAAGAGAATGAAAATTCCTAGAAAGAGAGAAAATGGGAAATTTAATTTTTGATAAGGGGAATAATAAAGCACGATGGCCAAGTAAAGAGGTTATTTATAGAGAAGGTTGATGGAAACAAATCACTTGCTATGGACCACCAACTCAATAATATATCCCCTCCTAAGTCAGTAGTGGTCCACGTGGTGCACTCTGCGCAACGTATACTCATACGTCAAAATAGTCTATAAACCGGCAATAGACTTTTGACTTCAAACTACCATGATCCGACTGTATGTCATATTCGACCCCTTTCACAGTACACATCTTACCTTTTCTCTGCCTGACTCTTTTACATCTGTAAATCACTCTTCTGTTTCCCCCACCTCTCGATCTCTTCTCACTTTGATGTTCCTCCCCTCTGTGAAACCGAAGTCAGATAAATGGCTAATGATAGCTATCAAAACGCCTGCTATTTGAAATAAATCTATTTAAGTAAAGTAACGTTGGTATTTTTTCGTTTTAATTGAACATTATAATTGGTGCAATAAAATTTTCGAAAAATGCATATTTCAAATATGTACCTATTTTTGGATACAAAGTATCAAAATGGGATTTATTTGCATGATCTCAACATCCACCTTCAATCCACCTTAAGATGAAAGAAGTACGTATTAAGGAAGAGATTGTTTTATGTGATAACCATATTCAGACAAATCAAATACCCTATTAACTTATCAAATGGGAATCTTTGAACTCAATTCATTCGTATCTGTTTGATCAGGTTCACTCGCTGAATACGTGATTCAGTTAACTCAAATTGATTTAGCAAAGATTTTCAAGTATTAATAAAACTCCATCTCCACGTTCACTTGAGGAATGGCCTAAGATCTCATAAGAGCTTTACCATTTACTATCACCATAAGTGAAGAACTTGCTAACGAAATATAGAATAGGATTAAATTAAAAATAGCGTTTCTATAAATTTACAATTAGATTTAAGAGAATCTACAAAGCAAGGTGAAAATTCGAAGCTAAAGTAAGCTAGTAGACTGAAAACGTTTTTATTATTATATCAAATGGCAGGCGTTTTGATGGTTATCAATAGCCTTTTAGTTGATTTCAGGCTTCACAGAGGGAAGGAACATCAAAGTGAAAAAAATCGAGAGGGCGGCTGGGGTAGAACAGAAGAGTGTTTCATAGACGAAGGCAGATAAGGTGAAAAAAGGTGAGGTGAGTACTGTGAAAGTAGTCGAATATGACATACAGTGGAGTCATGGCAGTTTGAAGTCAGAAGTCGACTGCCAGGTAATAGACATTTTTGCCGTATGAGTATACGTTGCCCAGGGTGCACCACGTGGAGGTAAGTCTATCTCACACCCCAGACTGAAAACTCATTTGGCCAATTTACTTCCTTAATAGGTGATAAAATTAGAATTTGACTTAGAAAGTAGAATCGCCGAGATAATAATTCGATCTTATATTTCCTTATCCCATTTATTGATCTGATCATTCAGTTCCGTCGTTTTTAATTAAGCCAAAAATAGTTGACAAATTTCCTTGTTATTAAATAATTTTAAAAAATACTGCATATTGTGCAGAAAACTTCCTAAAATTATCATTTTAGCCCTTAATTCGGGAGGTAACCAAGTGGGTGCATATCCTTCACATTTTGGGCTCATTAATCGGCCGACTTAATTGATTAATTGGTTGCACAGTCTATTAATCAATATCATTATTTTGGAGTTCGTTTTCACACTCCATTGTTGTTCTACTAGCTTATAGGATTAGATGAAAATTTTTTGCCCAGAATTTTAGAATCCATTATTTTAGAATTCCGCATTTAAACTAATTGATCGATACCATGGGAACAAACACGTGAACATGTGGGAATTTCGCATTATCCATTTTGAATACGCAAGGTAACCAGTGCTGGCTTTAGTTAAGATCAAAGCCGAGTTTGCAGATATCGTAACGGAAAACAGTAATAGTGTCTTATTTCACTTATCACACCTAAAGAATTGTCAATTCAATTGGAAATTGAAGAAAGAGAATTTTGTGAAGAGTGGCTTAAAATTTGAAATTAACTGAGGGTGATGGAGAGGTGCACACTCTTTTATCGATCTTTTTTAAAAAAGGAGGCAAAACTAGCAAGATAAAATTGAAAATCTATGCACCAATCAGAAGAAAGTGATAACCAATCCCTCTCTCTCTTGCTTGTCTACTCAGGCAAGTGTACATAAAACAAACCTTTGACATAAGCTATCCGTGTATCAGGTAAGAAGCCAATTTCCATCAATCGCAGAGCTTCATGAAGGCAAAAGTTGATTTGATTATATTTGACCAAATTCAACTTATGCCAATAAAATTACAGATAGTTAGGTTCTCTTGAAAACTGCCGCATCAATTGACACGGAAATGAATGCAATGCAACCGATTCTATTAGTCTCCTAAAATGTCAGTTTTGAACAATAGTTACGCACTTTATTCAAACGTACTCACTTGTTCTCTTCCAAGCAGTATGATTTGGCTTAACGGAAAGATTGCCGCACTGACCAATTAAGACAGTTCATTGTTGACATCACAAAAAATGTGAATGCTTTGCTTCAATCATGGAATTCCACCCATTTACTACTTAATAAACGGACGAAATTATGCATCAATGAATCCCTAAGGAGTATGGAAGCGATATCGTGGAATGGATTTCCGATAACTTCTAAAAAGCATACCATCAAAGTACCAGACTAGGCTTTCGTTTAAATCGAAGAATAAAACGCTTAAGACTTTGCAAACACTCCTCCCAAATGATCTCATTAATATTGACAGCGGTCTAAAATGATTAAATTTTCTTTTTAAAATTTAATGATAATTAATGTATTAAAAAATGAACGCCATTAGTAGGAATCAGTGCATTCGCAGTTGATCCATTTCGTAAATTATGAGCAATTTACCATTGGAAATGCTCACTGACCAAATAAATGTACAAGGCGAGAACTTTGCATTCGAAGAGCACACCCAATGTGAAGTGCCAAAGTAGGCACGAATATTTGTCACACGAATGAAATATCCAATCAGCACTTGAAATTGGGCATATGCATATGTATATATATATATATATCGCAGTTACAACTTATTGAAATATTTCAATTGCAAATAAGCGCAATAGAATGCAGGCATTAAACGTCCTAGTGCTCGTCCTTCTATCCGTCTACCAAGTGAGGACACAATACCATTACAGCAGTCAGAAATGTTGTAAGTGTCCAGAAACGGAGGAGAACAATAATGCCAACGCCAATATTCCGAGTGGCAGTCTGAGCGCGGACAAGCAGGAACTGCTTGATCTTCATAATCAATATCGTCGTAAAGTCGCGGGAGGTAAAGTTCCCAGGCAACCAGCATCTTCGAAGGTTAAAGACCTGGTATGTTCAATTCAACACTTGGCTTTAGACGTTGAGATGGATCTTACACCATGTATTGCCTTTTATTTCAACCTAGCAATGGAGTAAAGAATTGGAAGCCACAGCTCAAAAACATGCTGACAGTTGCATATTCGAACACGATGGAAAAGATGATCGAAAGACAGAAGAATGGTGGTGGGTAGGACAGAATATTGCCTATTCCTCAAGCG